GGAGAATAGTATAGCTTCAGAATGAAGTCAAGCATCCGAAAAGATAAAATAGCCACTGTTGAAATAACATCAAAATGTCACCTCCACGTTTTATTATTTTGAATTCTTTTTCCGTAATGTCCCCACATTTTGAGGGTGACTTTACAATTTCGTGAAATAAAGGAAAAATGGGCGATTACTTGAAATAGTCCATTTGTTATATTAATAAAAAGATCTGGAAAGAGTTATATAATTTTCCCCCACTTTTAGGGGGGAAAATTGCTGACAGCCTTAGTGTACAGCTTTGTTTGTTACATGTGACCTTAGCAAATCCCACCTTCGTTAAATTCCTAAAGTGAAAATTGGAGCATATTAAATCAGATATTCCGAGGAATAAAGTATTCTACAAATTAAAATCGATTTTTAAAGCAAAAATGCTGTTGAGCTCCCCTCCAAAATAGAGTGTAAAGATGTCCCTATTTATTTCTTCCCCATTTGGTCATTTGTGGTGTCATTGACTAAATTTGTTACCAGTAAGTACTTGACATTTTAGTTGCGTGAATACAAATGTTTATTGATTCCCCCCCTCTGGCAATGTGTACCATTTGCTGTATCATATACTGGGTTAAGCTTTACATTTTGTGTGTTAGCATTTGAAACAGAAAATGTATGTAATTGGTTTGAACCTTTTTTTGAAACGGTCACAAGGATGATTTAGAAGGTTTTTAGAGAGTCCTAAATACATACAGACTAATTTTTATTTAAACAGGAGAAAAATTTCCCTGTTTTTTAAAAATACCTTTATTGAGATATAATTCACACACCATATAGCTCACCCGTTTCCTGTTAATTTTTAAAACCATTTCCTGGGGTCCTTTCAGTCTGCTTTTTAGATATTCACTATCTCTTTTTCTTAACCGGTAGACAGAAATAAGTGGGTTGAGGTTTATGAGAGAAGGGGATTTCAGGGGCAGAGGGCAGATAAAACAAGACCTGGAGGTAGAAGTGGGATGAAGGAGGGAGAAGAACATTGGTCTGGGTAAGAAGGAAAAAAGACAAATAGGAAGTTAGCGAGGTGTCTTAATGATGAATTATAAAGTAGATGGTAAGAAACCTGGGCTTGTGCTTTTCTTCACCCTGGTTTGTGGGGCCCTATTGTGAGGGTAGTACAGATGGGGAGTAGGGCAGACAACAGCACACAGCCTTATGGAATCAAACCTTCCTCACTGATGCTCCAGGATACTGTATGTAGCCCTTGTGTTTTGCTCAGTAGTACGTTGGTATCAGATTCTTACTCTCTCTGCTTCTTGTCTAACTCTGCTGCCGTCTGACTACCCTCTCTACCATCCTAGCCCCTTCACGTCCTCTGCATACTCCGATGCGCTGTGGTATGGGATTTTCTGTTCTTCTTTCATCATTCCCCTGCTCTTAGCCCTCCAGTGCCCTCTCATTGCACTGAGAATAAAATTCAGCGTCCTTACAGGGACCTTCCAGGCTCTGTAGGACCTGCCCTCAGCACCCTCTCTGGTCTCAGTTCATCCCCTTCTCCCTCTTTGCTCAGTGTTCTAGCATTGCACTGACCTCTCTGTTCTTCCTCACAAATGCACCTAGCATACTTCCAACTCGGAACCTTTGTACTTCCTATTCACTCTACCTGGAATGTTCTTTCTCAGGTTTTTTTTCCTATCCTTCTTTATGTAGACCTCTATATAATGTCATCTTCTTTTTTATTTTTTTTAATTTTATTTATTTAATTGACAGAGAGAGAGAGAGAGAGACAGCGAGAGAGGGAACACAAGCAGGGGGAGTGGGAGAGGGAGAAGCAGGCTTCCCGCCGAGCAGGGAGCCCGATGCGGGGCTCGATCCCAGGACCCTGGGATCATGACCTGAGCCGAAGGCAGTCGCTTAACCAACTGAGCCACCCAGGCGCTCCTATAATGTCATCTTCTTAGGGAACTTTCCCTGACCACCCTATCTAAAGTGGAATCCCCCACCGTGATACTCTGTTTGCTTCTTCTCTTTTGTTTTTATCAGACTTTCCTATACATGACATTATAATAAATATTTATTTTGCATTTGATTATTGTCTCTCTCCCCCACTGGAATGTAAACTCCCTGAAGGCAGGCTTAATGTGTTGAATGTACTGCAGTATCCTCAGTGGCCAGAATGGTGCCTAGAACACAGTCGGCACTTAATACTGTCGAGTGCATGCTGAATACTATACGATGTATATTCACACTTCCCAGGAGGGGATCTGTTGGGTTGTCCAGTATTGAGTGCCACTCATCTATCAGGTAAGATTTTAGGCCAACTGCCCCACCACCTCTGGGCAGCTGTTTAATCAGATGCTTATCCCTGGTACATCCAGCCAGTAGTGGCCAGGACAGTGAGGTCATGTGGTCCTCTTCCCCTTGAATGGTCTGGTCCCTCCAAAAGTTTTTAAGTTTCACCTCTTGGTTCATGAGAAAAATTTGCCAGATCCCATGCTGCAGAACAGATGCTTCCTTAGAGTCTGGAGAAATGATAGGAAGCAATATTTTGGCTTTCTTACTTGACCTTCTTTATGTCCTCTTGCTGTGTTGTCCTGGCCCATACTTTTGTGTGCTTTCTCTTCCTGTTTGTTTTGATTTTAGTCTGTCTTTTTGCCTCTATTTTCCTTTCTTGCCCCTTTTTTCTCTCTTGTTCTTTTTTTTTCAGTTGCCATTTTGCTTTGCCCTCTGTGTCATTCCAGCGGTTGCCTAGTTTAAATCCTTGCCTCCAGAAACCTTCCAATTTACCTGTTTTACGTGCTCTTTTCTCTCCTTTGTTTGTTATGGCTGGAGAGAAACGAGAAGGAGAAGGAGACTGAAGCGTTCTTTCCTTCATTCTTTTATTTAACTAATATTTGAAAGTCTACTTTGTGTAAGATGTTGTGTCAGGTTCTGGGCTACCTCCATAAACAAAATACCCGCATTTGTTCAACAAGTATTTACTGAAACTAGGATACAGTGGTTGGCAAAAACAAAAATCCTTACATTTTGGTAAGACATACATTAACTAGACAATTACATGAATGAATAATATATTACAGCTCTGTTGAGTCCTACGAAGGAGGGCTCCATAATGCTATGAGAATATACAGCGGGGGGTTTGTTCTGGTCGGGAGAGATGGGGACAGCTTCCTTGAGGAAGTGAAAGGTGAGTTGAGATCTGAGGCACAGTAAGAATTAACTAGGCAAAGGCAGTAGGAGGGCAGGAATAGCAGATGCAGAAGTCCAGTGCTGAGAGGGGATTTGGAACATCTGAAGAATTGAAAGCCTGGAGAGCAGGGTGCCGTGAGGCTGAAGAAGCAGGCGGGGATCAGAACCTGCATGGCTTTGTCAGCCCTCTTAAGGACTTTGGTCCCCTTATCCTCTGAGCAAGGAGATGTCTTTGAAGTGCTGAAGCAGGGAAAATGGGGGGAGAAATGTATTAAAAAAATCTTTATTTTTAAAACACTAGTCTGAATGCTGTGGAGAATAAATGGAGTTGAGCATAGGTGTGAGGGAAGGGACGTGGGGTTTGGCGGCAGTAGGGGCTGTATTGGCAGCCCAGAAGACAGATGGGGTTAACGGCTAGCAAGGATTTTGTTTCCGAATCTGCCCTCATTTCCTATTAAAGGTATTTGTTTATCCAGAAAGTTGGGTTTTTTGGAAGTTGACTTACCATGAGAGACACAGATGCAATAAAATTTTTAAATTCATTCAAATGAGAAATGAAAGATGATTTATTTTTTTATTTTTATTTTTTAAAAGATTTTATTTATTTATTTGACAGAGCCAGCGAGAGAGGGAGCACAAGCAGGGGGAGTGGGAGAGGGAGAAGCAGGCTTCCCGTGGAGCATGGGAGTCCCAAGCGGGGCTCGATCCCAGGACCCTGGGATCATGACCTGAGCCGAAGGCAGACACTTAATGACTGAGCCACCCAGGCGCTCCAAGGATGATTTAAATAAAGAGAGATGTGAATGGAATTATACTCAATAATCTAGGTTAAAGGCAATGACTGAAATTGAGTATATAACTTAGCTCTGAGTTCCTGGAAGCCTAGGTAAAGTAGGAAATAGTAGGTCATGGGATGGATTAATAAAAGGAAGCATGCTAGTTAAGCAAGGGATGTTATGCTGTCCTTATTAAACATTTAAAGTACTTTATTATTGGAGTAACATTAAACAACCTGGGCAGGTCCAGATTATTGAAACCTAAGACCTCAGCTCTTAAGATCCTGGCATTAATCCATTTTTTTGGTCGTAGGTCACATTGGTATTTCATAAAAAGCAAAAATTTCAGAAAAATGAGTTATATATACACATTTTTTATTTGACGCCTTGCAGTGGCAGAGTGTAGGGTAAGAGAGGAAGTGAGTATTAATAGACAAGAAGCCCATAATGCAAACCATGGACCCAAAGTAAACTCCTTATTACTATTTTTTTTTAATTTATTTATTTTTGGGAGAGAATGAGCAAGAGAGAGAGCACAAGCAAGGGGAGCGGCAGGCAGAGGGAGTGGGAGAAGCAGGCTCCCCGCTGAGCAGGGACCCCCCCCCATGCGGGGCTCAATCCCAGGATCATGACCTGAGCCAAAGGCAGACGCTTAACCAACTGAGCCACCCAGGGGCCCCCAAAGTAAACTCTTAATATATTTTCTTGAGGACTTTCCCTTTGCCTTCACAGATACTTCTTTTCTTGCCCTCTTCTCTAGTAGCCATTTTATTTGTGTCCATAATTACTTATTCATAGAAGGTACCTTTCTTGCCTTGTAAGATTCATAGTCAGGGACAAAGAATGTCGTGCACAGAAGCGGCAGCCTTATTTCTCAGCTACTCACATTCCAACCCCTAAAACATACTTTCAGAATAAAGAACCTCAAAACCAAAATCAAAATTATTTTAATGAAGTAATCCAGGGTTCCTAGTGACTCTCCTGTGAGTTCTCTGCTCCTGGGGCTTAATCTTTATGTATTCCCACCTTGACCCTGTACTTGGCCAGTGGCCTTAGCTATACTGCTTACTCTCCTAGTAAAATGTTAGGCCCAAAGGCACAGAAGGGTCCCAGGAGAGCCAGAGAGAGCAGTACAGTAAGGTACAGGAAGTCAGATAAGTCCAAATTATTGGCACCCAAGACCTCAGCTCTTGAGATAGTAGTCTTAATCCATTTTTGATAGTAGATCACGCTGGTGTAGACTCCAGGGAGAGATTCAGCACAGCCTATTCCCCGGCTTACTAGTCCTATCTGGGTCCATGCACCGTTAATATGACATGACAGAGGTCCTCCAGAATCACCCTGAGGAAAGATAAAGGTCATGAGTGTAGTGAAAAGGGACCTTGAAGAGGAAAGTGGTCACAAGAGGTGGAGAGTTCCTTAGAATGGGGCAATGGAACCCATGGAGCTGGAGGACTCTTAGAGGGAGCTAGACTTCTTACTGCATTAGGGGAAGATCATAGGATTTCTAGAATCATACAATTTGAAATTGGCAGAGACCTTAGCTAAATATATCAGTAGTTTAAAAATACTCATCTGTGATAAAAAAGAGAAATTAATATGATAAATTTGTGCCCTAAAGGTAAATTTATTTCAATTGAATAACTTATTTTTTCTATTCTTAGGTTCTTACTGCCTTTTTTTAGTGTTAAAATAATCCTTTCTTATGTAAAATGATAGTGATAGTAGTTGATGGTTTGTCTTTCAATCTTGCTGTCTCTTTTTCTAACAGCTTTTTTGAGATGTAATTCATATACTACACAATTCACCCATTTAAAGTGTACAGTTCAGTGGTTTTTAGTATATTCACAATATTCAACCATCACCACATTTTCATCACCCTCAGAAGAAACCCCATACCCATTAAAAGTCACCCCCATTTCCTCTCAGCCCTAGGCCAGCTGGTAATCTGCTTTCTGCCTCTATGAATTTGCATATTCTGGACATACTGTATAAATGGAACCATATGATATATGATCTTTTGTGTCTAGCTTCTTTCACTTAACATTCCATTTTCAAGGTTCATCCTTGTAGCATCTATCAGTGCTCCATTCCTTTTTATGGCTGAAAATTATTCCATTATTTGGATATACATTTTATTGATCTGGTTCTCAGTTGGTGCGCATTTGGATTATTTTCACTTTTTGGCTATTATGAATACTGCTATGAATATTCATAATTTTTTCTGTGGATATGTTTTTATTTCTCTTGGGTGTATACCTAAAGTGAAATTCCTGGGTAATACGGTAACTCTGTATATAACCTTTTGAAGAATAAGAATTCCAAAGCAGTACCATTTTACGTTCCCAGTAGGAGTATGAAGGTTCCAATTTATCCACATTCTCATCAACCCTTGTTATTACCTACTTTGATAATAGCCGTCCTAGTGGGTGTCAAACTGTGTTCCATTGTTGTTTGATTGCAAATAATGAATATACATATAGGGCATTGTGGCAGAGGTAGAGAAAAGTGTGTGTGTGTGTGTGTGTGTGTGTGTGTGAGAGAGAGAGAGAGAGAGAGAGAGAGAGAGAGAGAGAAGAAGGAGGAGGAGGAGAGAGGGAGGAAGGGGGAGAGAGGGAAAGGAAATAAAACCAAGTGGTCATTCTAGGACTAAAAAATAAAATACATGAAAATATATGAAGAAAACTTTCACTAGATAAACCTAACACTAAAATGTAGATGACAGGAGAGAGGTAATCTTGAATATAGATTAATTTATAAGTATCCAATTTGAAGAGCAGAGAAAGGTAAAAATAAAAGTTATCAGAGATGGTGAAAAAAATCAAAAGGTGTAATCTACATTTTCTCTTTAAACTAGAAGAGGGAGAGAGAAATGAGGCAGAATATTTGAAGAAGTCATGAATGAAAAAATTCTCAAGTTTTGATAAAAAAATAAAAGAACAGATTAGATTTAAAAAAACAAAAACAGTGAATCCTAAATAGGATAAATACAAAGAAAATTACACCTGGCACATCACATTCAAACTTCTTTTTTTTTTTTTTTTAAGATTTATTTATTCATTTTAGAGAGAGAGAGCATGCATATGTGCAAGGGAGGGGCAGAAGGAGAGAGAGAGAGAGAATCCCAAGCTGACTCCCCACTGACCTGAGCTGAAACCAAGAGTTGGATACTCAACTTACTGAGCCACCCAAGTGCCCCAACACATTCAAACTTCTGACAATCAAATATGAAGGTAATTATATTGAAAACAGCCAGAGCAAAACAACACATCACACTCAATGGAGGAAGACAGAAATGATGGACGATTGATTCTTCATTGGACAGTTGATCAGGAGACAGTGGAATGACATCTTTTAAGTATAGAGTGAAATGTTCTTACTTGAAAAAATAAAGTTGGCAATTCTGTGTCAACCTCATAATATATTTATAAAAATATACAAGTCTGTGAAAACCCAGTAACCCAAAGTTAGCATTTCTCTAGATCAAAAGTTGAAGAGGTTAAAATCATTGGTAATTTAGCATAACACAAGCATTATCATTAGAACCTTTGTCTCCTGATTCCCAGTCTCCTGCTGTTTATATACAGGAAAACACGGGTCAAAATTAAAATCTCATATTAAAAAAAAAAATTCAAGAGCAAACCCTAACCTTGCAAGTATCCTTCATTTTAGCTGTATCACCAGCACATATCTCGTCGTCTTGGATGACTGGTTCCAATTCTGGCAGCATGGAGCTGATTGGGTTGTAGAGTTGTTCACAGGTCTGGCGATCAAAGACGGATATTTCTGCTTCCTGGAGGATGGAGGGGTAATCAGTATCTGTAAAGACAGACAGGAGTGAAAGGAAAAGCAACCTGGAAAGTTGCAATGGAAAAATTCAGTCATGATTTGCAGAAATCTCTGAGTGAGAATCCGAAAGCAGAATACAATCACTTTCTAATCATATTTGCTAATACAAGAATATTTTTGGTAAATTTAATCTGAAACAATGGATAATTCAAAATTATTTCTATTTGTTTTAAGGTTTTTCTCATGTGCCAGTGTGGGGTATTCCTCGTGTTTTAAATAAAGAGAAATTCTGATACAGTTTGATTCAGTGAAGATAGGAGTATTTGAAATACTCTAAAACTTCTTCCTTTCCTATTTTTCTGCTCCAAGATCATTTCTTGTCCTCACTCCTCCTGGGAAAGAGTTGACACAACACTTTAAGAACAGATTTTGAAAATACTAGAGTCTTCCAGACTTTAGATCAGATTTGTTAACCTTTTGTTTCAGAGAAGTAATTGTATGTTCAAATTGTTAGTATCTGCTCTTGCAGCTTTAGCTAGACTCTAAGCAGGATCTAAAAAACATAATAAATGTGAAAAAGACATTTTATTTGAAGACTTACAGATAATATCAATAGGTTGGGGTTTATTAAAAAATATTTGCCATAGTAATGGTATGCCTAGAATGCAAATGTTCTGGAGTGGGTACAAAGAAGATGATGGATAAAAGAACCCCTTTCTTTACCCATTCTCACCTTCACCTTCTTTAACCTTTCCCCATCCAGTCACCCAGCAAGAGGCTGGAATTTTCAACTGCTTTGTGATCCGGGGCAAGCAGATGGGCAGGATGAAAGAGGTAAAAGTGACTCTAGAGACCAGTTTCAACAAGGCGATGTCTGCAGTTGTATGTTGAATTTGGGGATGGATAATAATTTTGAACACACGATGCTTCACACTTTGACTTGGTTGGTCTATCTGAATCGATCCCAGCTGCACAGTATACAACAAAGGAATCCAGTTCCTAAGGGGAATAGAAAAAGGAGACTAAAAGTGGAGCAGGCTTAGGTGCTACAGCTGAATGGGAACAAGCTGCCTATGTGTAGCACCAAGTGTCTAGGTAAGAAAGGATGGTAATGGACCTAGAATGAACCGGGCTACTTACAACTTGGACTAGGGTTGATTTGTTGCTGTTTCTCCTTTCCTCCCTCCCTACCCACTCTTTCTTTTGTTGTCTCCTGTCTCTCTGGTCTCCTCTTATATGCTTATGGCCAGAGTTTTGTCCTGTATTTTCTCCCATTTTCTTGGGGATTCTGTTCTGGGTTATATCCCCTTTTTTTCTCGATTCCATTTTTTCTTGTTTTTCTCTCCTTGATTTTAGTGAAGCACATTCTGCTATGGCTTCCTGAGAAAATGTGCATGAGAGGTAATATTTTTGCTGCTTTGTATATTTGAAAATGTCTTGTTTCTAGCCCATGCTTGATCAGTAATTTGCATATGGGTAGAATTCTGGGTTGGAAATAATTTTCTCCCAGCATTTTGAAGTTCTTGTTCTGTATTTTCTTTGAGCTTTGGGTATTGTTACTGAAAAGTCCTGCTGTTTTGATTTCTATATATACTACTTATCTGTTGTTGCCTAACAAGTTACCACAAAGCTTAGAGGCTTAAAAAAAACAAACATTTATCTCACAGTTTCTGGGGGTCAAGAATCAGGTGTGACTTCGGTGGGTGCCTCTGACTCATCTCTCGCGAGGCTACAATCGAGTTGGGCTACAGTCATCTCAAGGCTTGACTCTGGGAGGATCTGTTTCCAAATGCCGTTATGGTGGCAGGCTTCAAGTCTTCACTAGCTGTTGGCTGGAGACATTAGTTTCACATGAGCCTCTCCCTAGGACTGCTCTCCACATGGCCCCTTGCTTCTCTTAGAGCAGGAGCTCTTGAGAGAGAGTTCAGATTGTGTTTGTGATCCAGAAAAGCTTAAGACAGAGTTCCCTGGCTGATGTTTAGGAAATGATTAGGCACAAAGTAAGAGAAGTTTCTAATACAGTGCCTATCTCTGTCATTTCTTTTTCTACCTCTATGTCCTGTCCCTAGTCCAAGGTGATGTAGGGTTTCCTTCTGCCTCCCCCTCTTACCACTTTCTTTTTTTTTTAAAAGATTTTTTTTAATTTATTTATTTATTATTTATTTGAGAGAGAGAGAGAGAGAGTGCAGGCAGGGGGAGGAACAGAGGGAGAGAGAGAGAAAATCTCAAGCAGACTCCACGCTGAGCATGGAGCCCGACTCAGGGCTCAGTCTAACTGACGGAGTCACCCAGGTGCCCCAACTCACCTGACCACTTTCGTTTGTCTGTTGGTTCATTCATGAAATCATTCAGGTATTTACTGAGAACCTATCTGTGTGCTAGCCCCCAGCTAGGACTCACTTTTTTAAGCAGTGTGCTGCTGTCAGTATCCACCTGTCACTGATGAGAGACCCTCCACAGACATGGTTCTGGCCCAAGAGCACGCTGACTTGCCAAGGCCAGTGCCCTGCAGCAGCATCCTGGCCACCCACAACACGGCCTGAGTATACAGGTCGTCCACACACTACAGAAAGAAGAGAGACGGACATGTAGAACTCTCCGTGTCTTGGTCCTCTGGTTCTCATCTTCTCATCATCATTAAACTCCCATCTGTTCCGAGGACCTGAGTCCTCCCTAGCCTCCACCCTCCATCCCGTCCCAGTTCCAAACCCAGCAGTCTAGGTAGAGACCACTCACCTACCTGATTGCAGATCTTTCTTTTTGGGGGAAGAACTTGGGCAAGACCCTAAGACAGACACCATATCATTAGTATACAGGAATGCATCTTATGTCTAGATTCACTGAACGGAGAGGTGAATTTAAATATTCCACATATTTAAATTTCTCAGATTTGTATTAAAGGCCAGATTTTTATAAATGTCTACCCATTAGTGGGAATCTCGAAAATTACATACTTACCTGCGTTCTTTAGCAGCATACATGGAACGTAATTTAACTGTTACTGGAAGATTCGGGGTTGTCACCAGGAATATCAAGGATATTAGGTTGTAAACACAATGATGCCTTCAGGTGCTTTTGAGGTTTATGAGCTGTTTTCTTTATCTGAATTGGCATCTTGCAGTATTTGTGTATCTTTTTTGCTACCTCTTACCTTTCCCTGCTTTCAACCTACCCTGCTTTTTTAAATCATTGTGGGCCAGAAAAATAAGTGAACAAGCTTATGCCTGAAATCACTCAAGAGTATTGATACTTCCAATTCCCTCTGCTTGAAATGCTTTTTTCCTAGATCCTTGTAGCTAAGTCACTCAGCTCCGTCAGGGCTTTGCTCAAATGACTCCTTATGAAATTTCCTTGACTACCCTATTTAAAATTACAACACACCTCCTGCCCCTCCACTCCTGCCGCCCCTTTCCTTTCCTAACATTTAGGACTTTCTAACCTGCTTTAAAATTTATATATTTAATAAGTGCAGTGATTATAAGCCCCACCAGGGCAGGGGTCTTTTTTTGTTTACTGGTTTGCGTATAGTATCCCCTCAGGACTTCCCCAGGACACGCTATTCATAAGTAATGTCCCATGGGTGAAGTGTCCTATTATTCTGTGTGGTAACTTCTTCAGCCAAAAACCTCTGCCTCTCCCCTCCCCATGCCCCCCTACCCCAGAGGCTCACCCAGTAGAAGGGACAGTAGGAAGGCACTACCAGCAGGGCCCATGTCTTGGTCCTCAGAATCAATACTTTCTGTTTACTGAACTCAGGCTCCCAGGGAAAGGCCAGCTGGGGAGCAGCCAGAGAAGGTAGATGGGACCAGCTTCTCCTCCTGGAGGGATTCCTCTGGTTCACTCCCTCCTCTCCTTTGGTTTTCACCCCAGGGCCAGGCACTGAAGGGACCAGACTTCAGAAATGCAGTGGCAGGAACCCAGGGGGAGGAGCTGGGGCCTGAGGCGCCCCCTACTGTCCAGGGAAAGCAGGATGTCCGGGGTTCCTGCTTTTGGATTGGAAGATGGGGGTGGGGAGGATGGGGAAGCTGTCCGAACAGGGCAGGTCAGAGGGGGTCTGAAGGAACACGACCCTTTCTCCATCAAGAAAGTAGAAGATGGACAGGATTCTTCAAAACCAAGAAATGGAAAAGAGGAAATTAACCTAGTATCTGGCTAATTTTTCCCAATTTTTTTGTTTCCTTCTTTGTCACAGTGTTATTGCTTCTTGGCCTTTTGGCTAAGATCAAGTGCAGCATCTTTGTCACAGTGTTAGCCACAGGATATAGGGTGAGTCCAATTTTCTGGGGAAATAGATTAGGAGGTTTGTGTGCAGAAGTTTATTGGGAAGTAGTCTGAGGCTCAACACCTTGGGGGGGTGGGGAACAGAAGCAGGATGGAAGCAGGATTGGGCAGAGGGAGGGTTGAACTGTAATTCATTTGCATACGTGCCACAGCCAATCCCACAAATTGCTCTGGAGCTGGGCTGGCTCTTCAGAGATGTCCTGAGTGAAGACAAGAAGGCTGGGCCTTTGGGCTTCTTTATGATTGGATGTAGGCTGCCTGCAAGGAATGGGCATTACCTTGGGTGAAGTGACTCTGTTGACAATTCATGGGATAGGACTTAGCTGTGAACTAACAGCAGTCAACACTCGTGGTTGCTAAGAGAATGAATCCTTTAGTCCTGACCCTTTCAGGGTCTTGGGTGCCATGGCACAGCATCTTCTACAGAATTCTCTGTGCCCTTTATGTTTCTGGTACCAACCGTTTGTAGGGTACTAGGTCTGCGGAGGTAGAATTCACTGAACTTTTAAAGCAGGTTATTGCTCTCTTATGGCTCAAACTCTTGGGAGGTTTGAAAGAAACACATGAATAATTAAATAAGAGAAGACCAGAAAATGTAGCTATTTTGGTAAGGTTTATTCAGTTACAACCAACAACACTTAAAGAAAAGCAAAGAGGGGATCACTTTAAAGGTGTTGTTATGGGCTGAAATGTGTATCCTCCAAAATTCATGCATTAAAGTCCTAACCCCCTCATACCTCAGAATGTGACCATTGGAGAGAGTGTCTTTAAAGAAGTAATTAAGGTAAAATGAGGTCATTAGGTGTGGGCCTTAATCCAGTGTAACTGGCGTCCTTATGAAAGAGGAATTTTGGACACAGACATGTATAAAGGGTATGGCTGTCTCTAAGCCGAGGAAGCTTGGAATGTCTTTTAGGAGGATCCAACCTTGCTGGCACCTTGATCTCAGGCTTCTCACCTCTAGAGCTGTGAGAAAACATAAGTTTGATTTTTTTTTAAGCCACCCAGTCGTTGGTACTTTGTTAACAGCAGCCCTAGCAAACAAATACAGATATCTGTGGAGGAGTCAGGAGAACAGAGTAACAAGGACATCTGGAGCTGTCGTAGGACACACCTGGAGGACCAGAGCAGGAAGGGAGCTTTGGATTCATGATGACTAAAGAGCTCATCGAGGGAGTTCAGGATCTTCACTTGGGTCCTCTGCCGTTAGTATGGCTCAACCATAGTCTGTGCCTTTTCTTTCCACTCTAAACTGCCCAAGGTTTTCCTTATTTTCAGTTCAAATTCTCAAGGTTTTGAACGGATTATCTTGTCTTACCAGGACACAGTTCCATGGCTATGGACTCATTGTCTTTGGTCTAAGTGCCCTTATGCATGTCGTGGGGAAGATGAGGATTCAGAAATGTGGCCAGCTAAGGAGAAGGGACTGTTGTGGTGGGACCCATGCCAGATCCACTATATCTCAGGGTGTTCCAATTAATTTGTGGTATTCACAGCAGATTTTATTATTTAGTCAGCTCACGTAAGTATAGCTTTTTAAAAAGATCTCAGCTTGAGGTTTGCCTTCAAGTCATGTTTGGAATAAAGGTGGTCATTTTGCTTAGACACCAAAGCTCTGGACAGGTCTTTCTGTTGATTTATCAGAGGAACAAGAATTTGACCAGATACTCTTTTCCTCTGAGAGTCTTGTGGTTGTCCTAGATCTTTGGACTTTTATATCCCTGGATAAATCTGAAGTCGCTGGTTAACTCTTTAAGATTAGTTGGATTGCTTACAGAGCTCTTCTTTTCCCTTTTGTTTAAATGTTTTATAAAAAATATATTTTATTTTGGTTCCAATTTAGTTAAAAGTAAGCTTTATTGGAAGTAACTAAGACACCAGCTCCTCTTCCTCTGAAAATTGGAAGTAAAAGGAAGGTATTAAGTAGTTATCTTGCTTTTCCTATCCAAATGGTGGTTCAGAGTAAAAAAAAGGGGGGGGGCTTAGTTGAAGAGAGGGAAGAATTCCAGTTAATAAATGTGCCTGGACTGATGGAATTTGAAAACCACTGCTTGCAGCCCCTCATGAGATCATTGATTCAGGAGATGATTATCAGTAGTTGAAAGTTTTAGATAAGAAGTTGAGAGAGTGCTCAAGCTGTTACCATTTGAACCTTCTGATCAATCTTAGCATCATGAAAAGGGAAAAAGGCAGACATGTGTCTTTTGATTAGACAAAGTATGAAACAATATCCAGTGAAGTATTTGTATCAAAAAAAAGTGAAACCTGAGTCTCTAAAGCTACTTCCACTCAGAGCGTATACAGAGGATAAAGAGTAAGTTTAATTATAATACAAGTGTATAGTCAAGTACAGAATGTGGGACGTTTTATAAAACAGCTGATGTGGTTTCTATAATAAGCAAATGGTATGAGGGTAAAAAGGGACGGAAGTTCCTCTGGATGAAAAGAAACTTAAGAGACATAAGTATGCATGGCCCTTGTTTGGTTTGTACCAAACCAACTCTTAAAAAGACACTTTGATACATTCAGGGACATTTGATAATGAACTGGGTATTAGATGGTATTGAGGAATTATTACTAGTCTTGATAGGTGTGATAATGGCATTGAGTTACTGAAGAAAATGTCCTCTTCATTTTTTCTCTTGTTATTTTTTTAATTGAGGTGTAATGACACTATTATGTTAGTTTCAGGTGTAAACATAGTGATGTGACATTTTTACACATTGCAGAATGGTCACCACAGTAAGTCTGGTTACTGTCTGTCACCTTACAAAGTTAACACAATATTACTGACTACGTTCCCTGTGCTATATGTTATATCCTCGTGACTTATTTATTTTGTAACTGTGGAACTTTGTACTTCTTAATCTTTTCCACTCATTTGCTCTCTCCCCACCCAAACCCTCCCCCTCTCTGGTTACCACCAGTCAGTTTTTTGTATCTTTGAGTTTGGATTTAGTTCTGCTTTGTTTGTATGTTTATCTTTTAGATTCCACATGTAAGTGAAATCATACGGTATTTGTCTTTGTTTGACTTATCAATTAGCATAATGCCTTCAAAGTTTATCCATGTTGTCATGGATAAGATTTCATTCTTTTTTATGGCTGCGCAGTAGTCCATTAGATAGATAGATCGATGGATGTCACATCTTCTTTATCCATTTATACATCCGTGAACACTTAGGTTGTTTCCATATCTTGGCTCCTGTAAATAATGCTGCAGTGAACATAGGGGGGCATATGTCTTTTCGAATTAATGTTTCTGTTTTCTTCAAGGTACTCA